ACCAAGGCATCCTAAATAAGTTTTAACTAAGTTAGGCGAAAAACTAGGGAAAACTGAGATCTCATTGTCATGGTGAAACGCGGCAGTTTTAAATGCCATTTTTGACCTAATGTCAGTCGTCAACATTAGGGATGCTAGCCTTGACCACGCGAAGAAATTTCAACCCTACTAGATAGCCAACATGACAACTGTTGGCTGAGAAATGGATTCCTCCGTTGTCTGTGATGAACTGCTTTGTCGTTAGCATGACATACTTTTTATCCCCAGTGGTGAATTAATTTTGGAGACGAGATGGTTTCGTTAGGCTCAAGCTGAGGATCGCAAGCTGAAAGGCTGTCAGTCAAACTTCTTACCTTTCAATCGTTTTAACGTCTTGAGCGTCTTGACCAGTCTCCAAGCCATGAGAAGACGAGAGTTCGTTCCTGGCCACCTTCATGCGTCATCAAATCATCATCAGTGTCAACCACTTTTTTGGTATTGCATAGTTCAGGGCGTTATATTTACATCATACATTTTCCTCCGCGCCTCCAAACCTTATTTCGCTAATCCAAATCATCTACAATGCCGTCTTCACACTTCACGTGTTTGTTTTTCGTGTTCCTTTCATGAATTAAACGTTTCAGAATCGACAGTAGAACAAAGTGGTTGCGTTATGGTTTAAGCTGGCCGAAAGCTAAAAGTTATAGCATAATATGTATCGTCATGTCTGTTACAAAGAACTCAAAAACTGTCGAATTTGAATTAGTAAATATCAGCAATGTACACGTTTTCTCATTGAGGGCTCAGCTGTATTGACTAGAAATCAAGTGTAATGATAAAATGAGCCGAATGTTGCACATAGGCACTTGGGTGTTTATTACAAAAACCATTAAAGCCCTGTTTGCTTTTCATAACGTTACTTAACCTGACTGATATCCCCACACTCAGCTAATAATAAATGAAACTACTGGATGACTTATTATTATTATTATTTGTTAGAGCATTCCGTCCCTGTTTGGGATTGTAGCCGCTTGCGGTTTTCAGTTGTTAATCGATCAGCGATTCCGCTAGAACTATACCCCCTGTCTTCGAACTAAAAAAATTCAACGTGATACATAGTACAATAAACCCAACTTGAGTAATTTGCCTGTTTTTAGATTGCAAAGCGCCGTCTCGTCTCGCAACATTCTCTCATTTATCACCTTTTAAGCTGATTGCGACGCTCTTCCGTTCGGGTGGTTTTTCAATCACGCAGAAAGTGCACGGGTGCAAACTCTCCAGACTCCATGACGTGGTTGTGTGGACTGATACAACGACCTTCACACTTAGTCCTATGAATTTTAAACAAAGCGTTGTGCAAACTTTGACCATTGCATGATTTTGGTTTTATCTACTGTGAGGATTCCCGGAAATCTCTGCTTTTGCAAATGCATTCCATCGCTTTGAAATTTCCAGTATATTCTGCGTTCCAGGGATACGGGTTAGCGTATTTTATATAGGACGAATGTCATTGCTGCAACAGGCAACTTGAGGTATCCGAACCAACATGGGCAGGATCCTCTAAGGCCCCATCAACAGCACTTTATGATTGCTGACTGCACTCTTAATTGTATAGACAAGGCGACACAGCACCGAACTCCACATATAAGGAGGTGGACAGGTGTTTTGAAGAAACGGCTATGACACCAATTACTCACTGAGTGGTTTTATCTGAAGTCTATCCTGAAGTGTTAAGTTGCTGTCATCGTGTACATTTGCTTTTACACCCCTGAAAATCAAGTTCAAAGTATCGTAAAAGCTCAATGGTATTTTGAGGCCTCAGAGATGCGATTTATTTAGAACTTATAAGGTACGCTTTCGGAACCTTAAAGGATTTAATATAAACACCGTATTTAATTGACGAGGTCTGGTCCGTTCGCCTTGGTTCGCCAAGCCCCAACTTCACAACAGGGACATAATTTCACTTTTTCGCTTGTGAGGCGGTGTGGATGAAGAGGAATGTGATGAGTGAACCCTCCTATTACTAATCCCATCTCAGTCGAATGTTGTTCTGTGAGGGGGCGGATATATCAAGGTCATTTAAGACAGAAGTGCCTTCTGTGGAAGTCTAGCATATTTTAGTTAATAAATACAGAAGAATAACTAGGCCGAATTTTGATTGTCTTATGATCGTCAGGCTACCAGTCCACGTAGTTAACAAACTCCCTCGTATTCCTGAAATAAATCTGGGCAATATCTCACAACGATTCCGAATTTTACACAACCATTAAAACAGACATTAAACATGTCAATCTACGGTGGAATAATAACGATGATAGTTGACTTTTGTGCGTACACTCCACTTGGAATGATTGACATTAACGTTTTAGGTACGCAAACACATTATCCCGGTAAAAGTTCTTAAGTTTTGTAAGCCTCTCAAAACACAAAATTAATAGCTATTATCCACACTATGCAAAGCAGCGCCTTGTAAGAGTTGAGGGCTCGGATTGTAGGCATTAAGGGAGTTAAAGTTGTTAGGCATCTTTTTATTAAATGTTATTACATCGGTCTCGGCTGTCCTCATTCGAACAACTGATCTCAAAGGCCCAAAGCAGCGATCTTCGAACGTCGAGAACATGCGGAGCAATTTATGTACACTAGATTTACCTTATTATTAAGTGTAAATGCTGCACAACGCATAAGGGTTCTATCCATTTGCGTGATAAAATGACATCAGAGATTGATCGATATATGGTCAGAACATGATCAGGTCGACTTCCTAGAAAAACTGTATGCCAAATGAACACAGTTGATTCGGTCATAGTTTGAATAGTAGTAGATCAGTTTTATGGAGCTAATATGTGTTGATGTTTGAATATCAGCTGTCAACCATCTTGTAGCATGGATGTGATTGATATCATAGAAACGTAGGCTCATTATTTCATTATTCCTATATTTATAACTATCTTGTGGGTTTGCACGAAACCCTAAGGTTTCATTGAGTACGTCTGCAGTTTGGGATGTCAAGCAATAAAGGTTCACGGTATTTCATGCTTTTACACACTCTTTTCAGTGGCCTGACTTTGAGAATTGAAAAAAACACAAATACCGAACTATCCTTTACCCTCAAGACTACTGATGAGATGTTGGATGGTATTAAGCAGTCTTCTCATTATGACAGTTACCTTATCACTTTCCACGTTATGGGTAAGTACAACATGAAAAGAACCGCTTTTGTATGTACTGTAAACAATTTGATTGCAGCCATCTGTCTCTTAAATTATCAGTAAAGTTTGTGTCCGAGGGATTCTAGCATTAGGATTTCTTGACATAATCAGTAAGTGGGATGTTGCCTGGCTCTGTCTCGTTTGAAAATCAATGGCAGTTGTATATGTCGAGAGTCGCTGATTGAACAACCACTTAGGACTGCATGGTATTTCACCTTCAAAGACGTCTGTCGTCGCAGACTTTTCAAAAGGCCCAACGTTAGCAATAAACTGAAAATGCATTAGAACGTCAGTCAAGAGAGACTTAAAATAATCCCTGTGTAACAAGAAACCGTATTTAAAATTCAACAATAAAAGACTCGACCGTCATCTCTGTTTTTTGCTTCAAATTTGTTAAAGAAGTCGAAATCGCAGGTATGCAGCCATGTCTGGACAGGATAATCACAAAAATATTCTTCTTTTTTACGAGTTTAAAACGTCATAAGCAAAGCTAACAATCTGCGGAACCCCGAGCCTTTTATTTTCATGTTTATGTTCTCGGTGATCCTAGAAGGGAAATATCCATCATCGACCCATTAAGGTTTCGTAAACCTTCTGACCCCCTGGTAACATCAGACGTTTATTGGTTTAGAGGAATTTAATGTGTTGTTACATCACGGGCTAATAAATAGTGTTGTTACATAACATCGCAATATGTTCCGATGTGGGACAGCTCCAAATCGTCAGAATCCATTTCTATGATCTCGCGGTGAGATTTAATGATATTAGAGATGTTAATTACCGCACTACTGAGATGCCTAAATTGCATTATCAAAAAGACTTGTTTACAATCGAAGACAGACAGCCCCAATACTTTAAAATCTGGGCGTGATTATGTGGAAAATGGAAATGTTTTTGATGATTTTACCGCCAAAAATTATGAGAAAAAGGTCAAACAGGACAGATGGTCACAGTGACAATGACTAGAGGATGATGCAACAGATTGATATCAAGAGATGTTGATGTTATTTCTGAATTAGAACACAGACGATAATTCAGGTAAAGTGACTTGCAATGGTTACTTCTGGTTCAGTAGTCATCAATTGTTATTGACAAATAAGCTATCATTATAACCTGAGAGCCGATAACGGCTTCGGTAAAGGCCCCATGAAAGCAAAAAGAGTAGTCAATATTTATCGACCTACTCTCGTATGTATCTCACGACCGACCTGCACCATGGTCTACACAAGAAGGTAATTTTATGCGTATAAAACATCATTCTTTCTAAGAACACAAGACATCCGATGGAAGCTCGTCTTCAGGGGTACGGAGAAGCATCCCCCATCCCATTATTACTGTCGGCCAAGTTGGCGGCACCCTTTTTCCGTTGTCGACCAACCTGCTTAGTTCGACCCGACCATGTTCGCATCCTTGGTTTTGTAATTACCACCTGTTTACAGCCCTTTCAGGTCCAAAACAGTCTCAAGTCCCCTAAATAAAAGACGCTGGTTCCTATATGCGGAAATATGGATCGTTTCGTATTGTTTGTGCTTGCGTAAGTAGGGCTTAAATATGTATATGTAAAGGTTTGTATATATAGAGGGGCAGGTAGAACGATAGGTGAAATTACTGGTTTGCTCAGATTACTTCCTCCGTGCACTGTGGTAGTAGGTGAAGGAGATCAGACAGTGCAGGTGAAATGTGTTTGTGGTGGGGGACTCGATTACATAAAACAAATGCTCGTGTGGTTTGTGTCTGAAAGACTAGGTTCGGTGCAAGGGTAGGTTGGACGCAAATCGTAAACATGAGGCCAGAACGTCTCTCACGATGAATTCATCGATTCGCACCGGTTAGTGCCTCACTGTAGGTCGGACGGAAAACATTTAACCAGGCGAGGAAAAGCGAATTTGGGTCAGGTGTGGGGAGGACAGTTGGGACAGAGGTAGCTTGAGGTACACTTTCAGGTGCCTTCTGCAGGAACCTCGCGTAACACGAAGCGAGGTCAAGTAGGGATGGATTGGGCTGTGGAACAACAGGAGCGGGCGGAGGGGGAGGTGGAGGTGGGACAGGAGAGGTCTCTGTCTTCTGCTTATGCAACGATGCCAAGTGAGTATAGATATGCTGCACAAGACTGCCCATGTCAAGGCAAACATGTCCACAGTAAAGGCATTGCGTACTGAGGTCGGAAACAGGGGCCTGGAGTTTCGATTGCTGCTGTTCTAACAGAAGATTAGAATCTGTCGCACTCCGGTCTGTCAGTGATTGCGCAATTGTAACGAGAAGTTCCCGCAACCGTTCTGGTGATGCTCCAAGTAAACTTCCAACGTTGTAGAAAGCCTCAAGAGCACTCGGAGATGACTCGGGGGGCACGGAGATTTTCATGAGATTTTTCATGATGTCATAGGAGGATGAATTTGGGGGCTGTGGAGGCGGAGTGGTATGCGACGGAGGAGTCGAACGAAGAGAGGAGGGAGATACTGAGGAGGAAGTCGAAAGGGGCGAGGAGTGAGATGAGAAATGCGAGGAGAAATCAATTGGCTTCGGTGCGCTTGAGACAGATGATGTGTTTCGTCCAAAGGACTGCCTCCGGGCGCGTTTCTGTGGCCTCGAGGTTGAACCAGGATTCGGAGAGGCTCCAAGAGCCCCATTAGCTCCCACAGAGTACCTGAGGGAATCCACTGCTTTTGTCCGCTTATGTCGATCAGTGGAAGCAGGGCTGGGAATCTTTAGACTAGAAGATAGGCGAGCAAGCTGAATGAGGGAATTTGAAGAGGGCGGAATGTATAGTTCGGATTCCTCGGCGCTGTGCGTCGATGTTGCCGATGGTTGCTGCGTCCCCTTTGGACTGTTGGGAGTTGTTCTACCTACTGGAGAAAAGTTCTGCGCAGAAGAAATGATCGGTGTTGACGACTTTGACATCGGTCTTCCGGAAGGCACTTTAGTGAACGAGCTTGATACCGAGAAGGGATTCGAGGCCTTAATCGAAGCAGGTCCATTTGAGGTCGCCTTTGAGGAGTCGACGGCAGTCTCGACGCCAATGTTTTGGCAAGTTCGTGCCAGTAGAAGGAGCGGGTTTTGGTCCAAAAAGTCGTTCTACAATAGAAAAGGGTAAGAGGGGTGATTAGACGCACGCATTAATCACGGATCAAAGAATGTGAAAAACCACTCGCGCCGAAATCAAACCTGCCATATCGACGTGGCTTGTATGCGCGCGGCACGAATGTTTTGACAACAAGACTAGACAGCCATAGGCCAGACCTTATATCCCACTGGCGGGTCATTAATCTTTCGGCTTTTGTGGGGGGACCTGGTGGCTTGGGGCTGGGTGGGGAGAGTTAAATGTGGAGGAGAAGGAGGACCCCAGAGAAATCCTTTGAAGTCTGACACGAAAGCTACTCATTTGAACGGTTTTAACTTGAGACTCGTGAGATTACGTAAGAGTTGCTTAAACCAAGTGAAATTAAATTACTTTATGTACAAACTGACAGACGGGACATACTTTTGGGTAAATAAGCATAGCAAGCTACATATTGGTGTGAAATTGATTTTGGCGCTATATCCAAATCTCGGAAATAACTCAACGTTTTATTTACAGTAAAATAGGCTTTTGCTTCACACCCCTATAGCCACATGCCTATTCTAAAGGGATTGCTATTAAGGCAATATATGAAAATATGTATTACTTTGGCCTCTTTACTGCAACAACGTTTTTTGGATTAACGAAAGGCAAGTCGAAGTGCGAAGTCGCCCAAATAAACAAGTTCGCGAGTCCTCTGGCATGTGGGTTGAAGATTATTGCAAAAATTTTGTGCGGACGCCATTGGCCATTTATGGCCATGAGGTGTAGAGCTTGTGTGAGCTGGTTCGGATGTGACATGGCGGTTGACTTATCCAACAGCCTTGTCTCTTTACCAATGGTCAGGCACGAATCACAAACGTGAAAATTAAGCTATTTTTCAAAAGAATCTTTTTCGCTGATTTGTGCATAAAATTAATTTTCCATCCTCTTTTTTTAACAAGTCCATAGCTGTCAATTAAGGCATGATGGATAGTGGATGAGTGTCTTCTGTACAAGAAGTTAACTCACGCTATGGTAACCTCGGGTTAGCGGATCAAGTTATTACTTTGGCTGTTAGTTACCTACTTGCGAGTGGTTGTCCATAGATCAATTTTTTGCAGCAAGCTACTGCATTAATTTCGCGAGGGGTCAACTTATTTGCACCAAGTGCATGGCTGCTATTAGTTGTGTGGGAAGGTGGACGAAGATCAAGAGCACGAGCCATGGCAGTGGGACAGGGATGCCGAACCTGAGCTCCTCATAAGCCTAAATACAACATGGGTGTGCGCTGTGTACACCAAGGCCGAGTTGAGGTATTTATGGTTGGTGAGTAGAGCGCAGAGGCGAAAGGACATCGTCAGTTGCTATCATCAACATCATTATACAATCACAGTTGTCAAACCCATATGCAAACTGCCTGTCATTTCCTCCATCAATCGTTTACCCTGCCTCTGCGTCCCCGCGTGAATGACAGATAGACAGCTTGGGGAGCGTGATACATCAACCAATGTGCCCATCAACTGTCAGTGTGTACCGAGCCGAAACTGTTAACTCAACCCCCGCAACGTGCATGCACCTACGTACATAAACTACGAAGACAGTCGTGGGTAAATAAATCTCAAATTTGAACCGCACTCAAGTACCACCCTGTGGCAAGTGCCAAGTTGTCACCGGATAACAACTTGTGTGTGCTTAGCCTGCAAGCTGAAGTCAACTGCTTCAAAACCCAAAGGACTTGAAAGGAGGACATGTAGATGGAAGAAAACTTATTGAAGATAGGCACCTTTCTAAAAGATTTCAGACACCCTCAATATGCCCTACTGAAGCTATAAATCATGGCGCATGTGCCTTTTTCGTCACGTTTAAGAGGTGCTTTTTGCGTCGCTCAGCAGGTGGGTAAAACCATCACCAATAGGAGTCTTTCAGGTAACCTCAGAAATACTGGCATTTCAAACGGTCATTGGTAAAATAGAAGTTCCGCACCACCCACATGACCGTAGACAGAAATTTGGACAAGTGGGTTCCTTACTAGTGTTCGAGTAAAGCCAAGATTAAGGCGACGTCTGCCCTTAGGTACGAAATCAAGCACCGATTTGGATTTTTTAGCAAAAAGACTGAACCCACCTTAAGCCAGACACTTGACATGATTCACCGACAATGTGGTAATTCACGCATCGTTTGAGACCACTCACATTTGAAGGAAAAACCTACGAATTTATGTGGGGCTTTTCAAGTTAAGCAACATCGACTACCATGACTGTTACTACACCATATTTAAAACTTGAACAAAATGGCTAGCACACCTCGACTAAGTGTCATTTATAATTGTTTAGGATCGAAGAGAAAAAAAACACCTTTAACATTACTCACCATATTTTTTTTATCCGAGTCAAAATGATCGGGTTGGAGGTAATTGGAGACTTCACTCATTGTGCCACTCTGCATGTCGCTGGTGACGCTGTGAAATAAATCCGCAGGAGCTTTAGTGTTTGAGACAGAGGACGATAGAAGCCAGAGAACCTCGCACACAGTCGGCTTTTCAGAAATGACTCCTTGAAGTCGCCGCTCCATCAATTCACGTTCCTGTCGTGACCAATCGCAGCCCTTCTGTAACTGATTGGTCAGCAGGATTTAGTATCAACCAATCATTAAACCCTCACTGTCTGTCCAATAGAACGTGCTATACATGACAAACGGAGCGGGGCGTGTGAACGCTGCTGGAATGCGACTTGAAGGATCGGCAGGCGCTTCAGTTTTCAACCTGTGACGTGACATGTATGACACGGTTACCCTCATCGACCAGTCCGACATTTGAGAGCTGTCAATCCAATTGCGAAATGCACAGTCTAGAAATTCTGGCAGGGCTTTCAAGATTGTCCTCAACCAATTTAGCATAAATCAGACCAAGTAAATGGTGATCTTGAAGCCGAATTAACAGATTCTTTGAAATTTAAGCTAAAATGATTGAAATTACTGGCAAAAAGGGGAGGATTAAACTCACGCTTATGACGCTGAAAAAGTTAGAATTCCTTGTTGAGTTTTAGATAATTTTTTTCTGAAACAATACTTGCCGATCTGCCTGCTTACCACGAATAACCTTGGTTAGTTGCAAAATTGCGAAAACGTTTCGTGGCTCCTTGTCATTTCACAGTTGCCATGATTGCAACAATTAAAGTAGTTAAGAATGAGGATCTGGAGTTTATTTTCAGTCAATATAGACAGTCCCCCGCCGAACTCGATTTTCTTTAACTGCGTTTCTGAAGATCCAGTCATTTGATTGCGGAAGCCGTCAACATGTACACTTAGATCCCTTTCCTTTACATGCCTTCCGCTGGTCTTTCGATTAAGAAGTTTTGAAGTTCGTGCTTTAGAGCACGTGAGCAGACGAGTTTGACTTCATGGGTCCTTGGGCACACACAAGTACACCAGTAGACCCCATTCACTGTTAAACTTGTGTAAAAAAACCCAATAGATTACGTGTTTTCTGATTTTTGCCTCTCCTCGATTGGCGGGATTATGCCGTTCTAATATTCTTTCTCGGAGAAATCTAGGTCGGATATTCTTCATTATAATCCAAGTTCATCATGCCAGGTGTGTCCATCAGAAGTAAAGTGGCAATACAGATGCTTCTCTAAATACATTGATCAGTTTTATGAGACCGGATTTCAAATTCGTAAATCTTCCCTTTTTTTCCAAAATGGTTTCCACTACGAACCTCAGTGCATGAAGTTAAATTTCCAACGCTGCTAAGAAATCATGGTAATTAGTTAAATGGCCTAACATCTGCACAACAAATTTCGCTTCAGAATTACCGGAATTTTGCACTAAGAGCACTTCTTAAGTTATAAAAATAGAACATATTTTTTTGGTACCTGCCTTAACCAGCGGATAAAATTAGGTTACTACGTTTGGTATCTGCAAAGTTGTCTCATTGAATTGGCGTAGGCGTTTTGGTCTCACGGCGAATGCCACATGATTTGTGTCAATAGCTGACATCTAGTTGCTTGGCTTTGTTGCAATTTAATGCTTCGTTTGAGCACTCAAATTAACACCGTTTTACTTAGCTAAATTCCACACCACATCATGCTACTTTGTCTCGTTGATCCTTATTATCGCCAACGTCCCCTAATTACTTCCTAAATGTAGTGCTATTTGAGTTCAAATCTTAATAGAAATAAACTGCTGCATTTCTAGCATCATAATGCCACGATGTAACGAAAGTTACTCAGATGGCAGTTAAATTTAATCCTAGGCAATGACACCTACACACTTCCTATTCTGTGTCACTGAACATTCAGCAAAGCTAGCTGATATCTCGCCTTGTGGCAAGACTTCGGGGGGAGGATTTCCTTGTGATCGTATTGGTCATTTACGGTTCGAAGTCGGATATAATCCGCTACTTACTGTTATTTCTTTTCCTAGATTTTGCGCATGGACTTTTTCATTACGGCGACTTGCAACGTCGTATTCTTGCAGCGTCTCACTCAAGCCGTAGCTGTGCGCTTACTCCCAGACAACCAACCAATAGGGGCTCTTAGGGACTTCATTTACAAACACTGGTCAGCCGATGCGTTTGTGCCAAAAATGCTGGCATGTGGCGTTTTAATTTTAAGAAATATCGCTAATGAACCCTCAACTGACAATTTGCAGATGATTGGATTCCATGAGCTGCTCAGTTCCGACGAAACAGCAAACCAGACAGTGACAGTGTCAATGACTGTCTATGTTTCTCAGCCAGAGCACGAGGGAGCTAATTAAACCACCTCTAACCACACTAGTGTCTTACTCCATGTATAAATGAGTAATATGATGTTTTTGTTTTTGTACTCGTGGCAGCTGCCCCCGCGGTTTTCATTCGCCTCCCTGCAGCTGGATGAGAGGGTTTCTCCGGTAGCCATTGTCAAGGGTGAGCCTCCGACGCCCCCAGAAATAGTTTTCCTCAAGATTCCGGGTCATGTCACTGATGCGACAGCTCTGGTCTCTGATTGGTCTCTTCAAAACAAGTTTACAGACCTCCACTTGCCGTTGAGTTCACAATTTCAGCAGTAGATCGGTGGCGTACTTGCCAGGTATCCATCTTCCCGAAGCATCAACCTTGACATAGACCCCAAACTTTCACATTCAATAAATTATTCCTACGTTAGTTTGTGGAGTCGGTGGCTTTAACGTTTCAGCCTCGTTGCTGTTTGATCTAGAATCGCGTGAGAAGATTCAAGCCTAGACCCATGTTTTAATCGTTGAATGGAATCTTCTGGTCGTCAATCACTCAGGTCCTTTGAAGAAACAGCCGGTAATTTTTTTCCCACTGAATGTGTTAGGTCACACGCACCAGCAACACTTGTCAGGACTGACAGGTCTTCCAGCTCAAACGCGGCCTTTTAAGCACCTGTAACTTGCATTTGGAAACATCCAACAGAGGGAAGAGTTCAAAGTTATGAGTCGTATCTTTGTTCTTGACTTTCACATTCTAATCCACAACATGTCTAGCTCCAATGCAACCCCGATCGACGCCTCAATCCCTCAAGTTGATTACGTGGCTTTGAGAATGTTTAGGCTGGCTCAGAAATCCAGACCTGTATTCAAACGCATCAGTACCATGAACTCCCCTTAAATCACCGAATTCGGCGTAAAGCTATTCACTGAGACATTCAACAGGGTTGACAATTAGGCTTCAAATAGGTCGAAAGAGTTTCGGCCAATAATCCTTTGGGTAAAATTCGTGTTGGGAAATGAAGTCTCTTACTCGAACATTTTCAAGTCTAATAAATTCAGCAAAAAATTGACTGATTTGAGGTTTAGTGAATCTGCAGAAATTGATGTTCTTAATAGTTCTCAGACCGATTTTTCGGTAAAATTTAAAATTGTTTTATAGGTAGTGAAAAGGCACATTGGTGAGAGACCAATTTTACTCGCAGCACATTTCAATGCTCACTCATAAATAAGTTTGGATCAACTAGCCATAGACCATGCATTACTCGCATGTTCCCCAAGTTAGTTTTACGTATACTGCTCATTTTCCACAGGGATGAAAGTTGAAATGTTTACACACAACATTCACTAGAAATGACAGTTTTATTTTTTTGCCTCCTATCATTGTGGAAAATCCCAAGTGTTTAATTTTTCCTTCAAGTTTTCGGAAAGACCAAGTGCGTGGAAGTTTCAAATGCATCAAGCTTCTCCAAGGCAACAATTTTGAGTGTCTTACCCACTGTTTAATAGGTATTGAGGGCGCCATACGCTGAGGTAAATGTGGCTGTAGGTCTCGTGCTTTTATGATTAGTAAGAGCACGTGGTAAATTCGGTTGGAATCTGTTTATCTGTTCCAGTAACATAAAACTATGAGCTCTATACTTCTACATTGGTTCCGGAGACAGCATGTGCCTTGTGATCGATTCTACAGCAGCAGTTCTCGTGCTCTCGAAGGCTTTTTAATGGGACTCCAAAGGACAGAAACGCTTCGTAGCTAAAATCATCACAGCACACAAATGGCTCACCTGGATTATGACTAATCCAGTCCTTCTAAAGTGGGCTCATCTCCACCAGGAATAGCGAGGACCTGATTTACACACAAAGTGATTCATTGTCGTGCACAAGCGCCTCACATGTACTTCTCAACACGAGTGTGCGTAATCCACCACGTCCATGTGTGTCTGCGCTTGTTAGTGGTGAATTCCTGAGGTCATAGGCTCTGCAAGCGATTTATCGACCGTCACAACGGGAAAAGACGCAAATGCGTGTCTGTGCGTGTAAAAAATGCATGCGTTACCCGGGTCACTAAAGCAGGCATTTCGTCGTCGTTGTCTACTGGAATGGGGGAAGGTGTTTCGCTAGCCTCCTATTTCACTTAATGAGAAGTCTTTATATTAGGAAAGGGAGTTTCTACACGCCTCGTGGAATCAAATTCTTAACTCTAGTTATTTGTTTATGGCAGACCGTAGTAATTGTACTTTTGTCAAGGGGATTTTGTTCGTCATCCTGACACAGAACAAGGCAACCTAACTATGTTGCTCTCCCCGGCCTGAAACTTACTGACCACTACACAGCAGAGCACTTTTTGCGAGAAAAATATGCTGCTTAAAAAACAAAAGCATTAATACTGCTTCTTAATTACGTTACAAGTCACGAGCTTTTCTTTATACGACTTTACTAAAGATTATACTAAGGTAGATATTTGTTTAATCACGCCTTTTACTGGATTAAATCACAGTTTGTTGAATCTCAGCAAATCGCCTTGAGCGCTAACAATCCTGGGTTACCAGTCGATGTTGATGTGGTCCAGGAGGAGCGGTGACTCGGTAGGGTGTGCACTGCAACCTAAAATGCCTCCATCGTCCGAAAGCTAAAGCAAGTTTAGGCAGACAATTTAGTACCAAGAATGCTTAATGACAGAAGCAGTGTTTCACATATTTTGTCAGCGAAGCCCTATATCGATAGTTCATAGAAATCCAAGACGAATCTACAAAAAACGGTTTGACAGAAAGGTGAAATGTGTGGTCCCATGGTATATCAAAAAAATTTGTTCAAACAGTTCTCCTTAGTGATTTCGAAAGCTCATGGTGCAACTTGACCAAAAACGACTACAAGCCGGTGTTGCTAACCGTCATGGGATAATTCCAGACAGTATTGAAGCCTTTTTGGGGCATGCTTACGAAAATTATACGTGCATTTAACAGATGTTGCATTGACGTAAACTGGAAGTTAAAAATAGTCCTGTGCTAAATACAAACGAGACGAGAGCGCAAAATTAAGAACTGATATTTTGCCTTTTGTTTTTGTCCTACCTAACTCCGTATCCAGCTTGAATTCAATGTCTTAGAAAATTACAAACGTTAGTTACTTTTCCAATTAACGGATCCTTAAACCAGGTGCTGTAAGTTCTATACCAATTCTTCAAACTTCTAATATCTAATTTCCACTAGTCATGTCTTTCGAAAGGGAAGGGGCACCTAAAGAGACCCAAAACATCACCAGCCGGAGTTAAAATCGACCTTGATGAAGCTCCACAACACGATGCCGCTTACCACCTCGAACCGTCAATCAGGGGAACTCGGGCCCGGAGTGGTCGAACCTTTGAGTCAACTTGCCGCTGATGGACGCACCAATTACAAAGTGGTGGTTCGGCTAATTTGACTTCAGTGCGAGCCTTCGCTACGTCTTTTTTCAGCTACTCTACCATTCACTTAACCTCTTGCCTTAACAAAGTTTTTTTCCTACTAAGACACGCCGTTAAGTTTTTAAGCGAAAGCGAACGCAGCATTGAGCGACACTTCATGCGAAAAGAGGACCATGCGAAACTGTGGCTACGGCAGTCTCGACTCCAATTTATTCAAGTAGCCTTTTATTTATAGCCCTCTAAAATGTATTAGATGAGTATTGGTCATTAATCGTCAGAGAGTTAGTCTACTTCATAAAATGTTAGCGATTACCATCCCCGATAAACTGGATTTCCGGTCTACTCGTCATTTGGTCAATAATCGGGCTTCTCCCAAACCCTTAACGTAATCTTTTATTTGAGCCACGTGGGACTCGGATAGTTAATGCAAATCTTTGTTTATGATCACCTCTTGGTGGTTTGATATTGCTGACAAACTAAAAACTATGAATGAATAATGAGAGGGGGATCAGAGACAATGTAATGTGCACTCCGTATTGGATCTGCTGTCGCTATTTTGCTACAAACCCACTGTCATCCGGTTGGATTATTTTAATAGTCAATAGTCAAATTGCGGTAAAAAATTGGGCTTTAAGTGTCACAAGAGCAGTTCATTTTGTAGTTTTTGCAGTTTCAAGTAATTCATCAACACTACCACAAACATATCTTGTTTAGAAACAACGATTAAGTTCAAGTCTGACTTTGGTCAGCCATCGTCTTCCCTCTTAAACAGATTCAAGCGCAAGTCCAAGCCTTATTATCGATCCCGATTGCAACCCTGATATTATGATGATAACCGAACACTTGCAAACGAATTCGTTAGTAATTTTAATTAATCCTGAACTCCAAGAATTGAAACCATTATTTTGAGCTAGATAAGGTGACGGAGGGCAAAGGGAGTTGAAATTTTTAATAAGGCGATTGGGAGTTTACTTTCGATAGATTTTTCTTATAAATTCCACAATTTTCACTCGAGGACTGGCTAGTCGACTGCATTGTGCATGATGGAAAGTGTGATGTTTTCAATTACACGGTTGCCTTGTTTTTAAGCAGACAGGAGTTGTATGCACGCTTTTTTCAAACTTAATGATTCATTTGTTGTCAAGTTTTTTTCATCACGATAATACCGTCAAGGGAAGAACAAAGCTAGTTAGAGCCACCAGACGGTTATCGTCACGAGGACGCCTCGTTAACGCGTTTGACAGGGCCCCCCCTTTGTGAGACATCCATTAGACGCCAAGTCGACACTCTGGAAAGCTTTTCGGGTGCTGGATGCAGAGCAATGCTAATTTTAACCGTCGCCACAGCTCTTTTTTGAAGTAAATTGTGCACGTCTGTTGCGATAGCAACGACTTTAAACCATGATGGCAGGCACTTGACCTTTTATTTTGGTTTTAAGTGGGCGGTAACTCTGTCTGCTCATGGGTCCCAATTTTTGCCACATGTATTCTTACATCAGTTTAGAACGTGGATCTTCAAATACATAAAAACAGCATTAAATAACGCCAGTTCGAAAGTCATTCATTGAAGAGGAAAGATACATTAGTTTTATTAGTGACGACTGAAGTTGTTGTTTTTTTTTTAAATTAGATTTGAATCTACATTTAACAGATGTAATTACTTCATTAAATTGGATTTTGAGGTAATAATCATCTTTACAGAAGGCCAGAGACCCTCCTTATGTTGAGTTTGACATAAAATTCACGGTACTAATTCAAAGGCAGCTAGGAAATTTGACATCTTAGCGCATAAAAACTACTCCCAATGTAAGACTTTCACTTTGCGTCGGTCATTTAAGATTGTTAGCATTGAAAATCCTTGAATATTGAAAATGCGGGGTGGCTTTTTGTGTCACTGCTTGTAATTTCTAAACTTTTGAACTGTTGGCTGAGCCAAC